GGGCTGCCCACCATTCCGAATTTGGTGGAATTATCCCCAATTTTTTTTTTTCAATTTTACAAAAATACGATCGAAACCCCCGATTCTGATAACGCAAAATTTATTTAACGTTCGGCTACCCTAAACCCAACTCCACCCTATTGAGCATAATAAGGAAGAAAAACAACCACACTCTGACACTATATGTCACTATATCACGTGCAGCTGAAAATGTTAACACAATCAGCGCACACCATCTGTGGATTGAGCCTAAAGATTACCTTTTTCATCATGCTTTTACTTACGTAACCATCTTCCTTGTACATACAACCCCTGTCCTTAACATCCTGGGGTAAAAGACTACCCAACCCATAGATATATTACAAACTACTTATAATTCATTGATGTGTGGGTAGCCCTGCAGACATTTTATCAAAGTTTTCTCCTTCCCAATATATTCCACATATTTAAAATGAAATATAGGCTACTTGAATTAAGCACACATGATTACTTATCACTTCAGCCACATGCCATTCATTATTCATACTATAGTTTTAAAGTTTATTGGCAACACATTTACATCATGTATAAACAGCAGCACTATAAACATCTTCAGAATAAATAAAACCACAGTTAATACCAACATACGTAATAACACATGAAGTATGAAGATGCATTATAATTCTTTGCTACACATGTACATATTGATGGTAGTAAAAGTCATAAACAGCGTAACTCTGAAACTAGGGCAAATCATATTACGGCTGAAAAGATCATTTGGAAACCCTATTGCACCATGTCTTATTTTTGTGCAAGTTGAGCGAAAATCACAAAATACAAAAATGGCTCAAAACGTGTGCTTATCCTTATATAAATATCCCTTCTATCTCAGTTTTCAGGAACATTTAAAACTTGCACACTATATCCTTGAAAGTGATAATTTCAGACTTACACTTACGTGTACACAATTTACCACAATGTTACTTTCCAATGGTAGCTTTTAAGCACAAAGGGGCTATCCCGAAATATGCTGTTGAGAAAATCGAAGGTAAAGTTTTTGTCCCTTGTTCAGTTTCTTTAAAAGACAAGGAGAGTTTTCTCTATAACCAAACAAATATATACATACCAATGAAACCAAACTTCTCCTATAGGTAGGGCAATGCCCACTTTTGGTGTAGGTCAAGATTTCAGGAAACCCCCGAAATCTGGGTTAGCCCGCTTGGCCTTAAAAGTGATCGTATATTTGCATAAGTTCATTCAACTATTAATTTGTATTCACAAGCACACATGCGAATACACATTCATACCTCTAAAGACACCAAAATTTGTACAAGACAATTTTAGAGAAAAAACTGAGAACCTAATCAACAAGTAAGCTGCAAGTGAATCAGTACCAGTGATAACAATAAGTGAAGCAGCATGGTGAAATCAGGCGCTCGTCAAAATACAGAAATCGGAGAAACAGGCATTTCTCCACTACTTTGGAAATTTTCATCGAATTTTTCTTTTTTATGTCCATATATAAAAACAAATTTCCATATGAATTTTATTGAAAAACATCGATTAAAGTTAAAGGCACAAAATATGTCATTTTTCTGTTTTCATGGACGCTTTAGTTATTGTAGTTACCGGTACCAAACTTTGACGGCCATTTTCTTGCTAATTTCACCATTGAAACCAGGCGACCTCACTTCCTTCAATCGCAAATATCTTGAGTTCTATTCAAGATAGATGGATATTTATTTAATTGAAAGCAAGGCAAATAATAAATCAGCTTTCAGATGATTCCAATAACTTCACAAGCCCAAAAACTGACGAGCACCCGATTCCACCGCGTCATGACACATAGATGTAGATCTACTGAGACAGACTACATTCAAGTAGGCTACAAACACTACAGAACAGACTAACAGAGAGGCTAAAAGTAAAAGTAAGATAATCCACAGAAATTTTTGAGGAAAATACAAAAAAGATAGGCTCTCTACAGCAACTAGTACGTAGTGAAGCTCTTCAGCTAGACCAAAACTTTTGAGGCTACCTTCACTGTCTATCAAGTTTTTAAATTTTTTTATAGTATTATAGTTATAGTAGAGGGTTTTACGGCGCTCGCAACTGCATAAGGTCATATGAGTGCCAAGGGGTGGGTGTCAACAGAGAAGTCTTTGCAGGGATCCAGACTTAGACTGCTCACCTCTCTAGCTTCAACAGCACAAGGTCTGCTTCGACTATCAAGGCACCCCAAAATAGCAGGTCACAAGGGAGTGACAAACATACAAAAGAAGTAGAGGAAAATGACAATAGTAAGGATCAGGAAAGAAAAAGCAGCAGTTCCCTGTTGTAGATCAGGCACAGTTATGAGCGTGACATGAATCGGCCCATTTACAATTCTACTATGCTTGAACGAGATATGTCCCCCCTTTGGGAATGGCCTAAAGACACATCAGTCAGTGGCACCGCCCTGGGGGGGGGGGGGGGGGGGGGGGGGGCAGTTCAAGTTTAACCTTCTCCTGGACGAAAAAAAAAAATAATGTTGACGGCAAAGCTGCAAGTCCTCTCTAAGGACATCAAGACACGAAACACAATTCGGAATAACACAAGGATTTGGACCCATAACCTTCATGTGGCAGATAAAGTTTGTAACTTACTGAGCTTCAATGGCCTGCAATTCCCTCTTTGTTGATATAAAATATAAAGTCTTTAGATTCTCAGGTGTAAGGTAGGAGAAAAGGACAAAGGTATCGCTGAAAAAATATAAAAGTACTAACTAACCTTTGAACTTCAGTGAGCTCATATTCCATACTATGGCAGAACCAACTCAAATCATATTATGCAATATACAACATATATCATCATATGTATTATAATAGCACGCACATAGCGAACAAAACACGCATATCGTGAGAAAATTATTCCTATAGTAATACAGTATAACTGAATAGGTCAAACACAGGTTATTCGAAATCGCGCATCTGTCGAACTGTGCCTAGTCCTGTTTTTCTTTTTCCTTCTTTATCTTAGTAAAAAAATGATGTGAAGCTCTAACACAAACATGGAAGAGTCAAACTAATTACGCCGCTTTAGAGGTCTAAAGTCAAAGTCCTTTGAGGTGCACTTGAGACAAAATAATAGTAATAATAAAAACAGAAAAAGGCAAGGTCAGTAAAATAGCACTTTCCTCCCTCCACAGAAGCAGCTAGCTGTACTATTTTTAGCGCGCTGCTCGACATGTGTCTAGGTTCTAGGCCTTGCTACGCTTGTGTAAAGGGAGCTAGAGGAAGGGTTGTATATCACACGATCTGCCGCCCCATCCCTCTTTGCAAAGGACTACATGCTTGGTGGGAGAGGCGGAGTAGGGCTGCATTGTTCCATCATTGCAATGTTGACTATTGTTGCGATATGCTTATAAATTTTGTCAAATTGTCTATGTCTTGAAAAATTTGAAAAGGTACTGTTCGATTGGTGCACACTAAAGACCACTCACACTGATCCACTCAATTAAACTGTCTTGGTACCAGTAGGCTCAATACAGAGCGAACTCAAAAGTGTTGCTCATCGTGTATCTTATTCTCAATCTGTCAGTTTCAAATTCTCTCAAATTTCAAATTCAAGTCAATACGCATAGATGTAACCTACCTGATCTAGGACAATGGCTGAAAAAAGAAAAATCTCTGTTCCGCCCCAATCTTTGTTGCTTCCCTTGATTCTCTGACATAGCCAATGCCATATATAACACTGTTCACGGATCCCTCGAACTACTGAGGCCGGTCCCAACCAATTTGAGCTGTTCGTGTTATACTGTATGTGTTTAAAACATGAACGTATAGAGACATTCATACATAATGAAAATATTTCGTATGTCCCACTGATTTTGCAATGAGCGTTCTAGACTCAATGTATACAGCCCATTGAATGTAAGACTAGAGTAACTCATATCAAATGCAGTTTGTTAAGTACGCCATTTTATTGTCCAGATTTAATGCTCCTGTTAACACAACAAAGTTGGTTGAGAGGCTGGGTGATTGATTTTATGATATTATAAAACCTTCAGTAGGACACAGACAAAAAAGCAAAAGGCCACGTAAAATACCAAAACAATTCAAGTTCAAGGACGCCCCTTGTGAGATCTGAACTAAGACAAATAATCACATCATTGTCCAACATACTATCAGCAGAGCTAACAGTAAGTCTTAACAGGGTTTTACAGGCTATCTAAACCCATCCTCCTCCCCCCACCCCCCAAATAAAAACAGAAGGAAAATCCAGACATGAACAAGATATCTGTGCCACAGCACTGCTGCCTTACCACAAAATGTTCGGAGAGAAAAACTGCACATATCACCCTCGCAGTCAATACTGCAGGACATAATTATGTCATGGAAAATGACTTAACATAAACTGCACAGTTAAAACAAACTATGGCGCTCAAAGGCAGATGGGGGGCTCTCGTGGCCTAGAGGTTAAAGTGTTGGCCTCTCACTCAAAAGGTCCCGGGTTCGAATCCGGGTAGCGACCGAAAAATTTTCTTCTCTAAATTTGTCTCCTTTCACCTCATTTCCTGCTCTCTAGCAATGTTCTGTCGTCTGCTTTCGTCTCCTCTTTCTGCCCCCAACCCCCTCACCTCCTTTGCCCCTTCCTTTGGGCTCCTGATTCTTTCTGCAGCCTTTCTACTGCTACTCCTTCCCTTCTTCTTACTGCTGTCTTTCAGCCACACCCCTGATCTTCTGGTAGGAAAGATCTACACCTAGCCTTCTCGGACAAGGGCGAAAAAAATCTCGGAGGGCCCGTGTGCAAGTTGTGCACGTTAAAGATCCCTTGGTGGTCTAAAATCGATAAGAGTAGGCTTCGGCCGCCACCCGGGCAAAATTCAAAATTTCCTACCAACTGAAAATATTAGGTGTGTCCCGCGCGCTCATATGACTTAATGCAGTTGCGAGCGCCGTAAAACACTTTACCAAAACGAACAAAAAACAAAAAGGCAGATGAAGACATTCAGTCTGTCGAGCACATTGTGAAAGCAGTGGGAAGTGGAAATATTTTACTTTAATGTACAGATTTCGTTATGTATGAGTTTTAAATATAAAGAATACAATGTTTAAAACAAATTCAGGACCAGAAAATCTGTTCACTATGTGTGAGTTTCAATTAGTGCATTTAAACGCAGGAAAAAAACTTCAACAAAACTGAGGACACCAAAGTGAAATTCTTTTAAGTTTTTAAAATCTGCTTATCTCTGAAGTGTCATCACAAAACAAAAATAAAAGAGGATAAAAAAGGTGAGGCGATAGAAAACAGAAACAAAATTAGGACCAAAACTGACAGGCTATTTGTACCATGCTACTCGAGTACCGGTACACAACATTCATTCACATCTCAAAAGTTTGTTCTTGCATTAACAGTACCCAGCACCCACACCTTGGCTTCCTTTGTGAATGTAAGGCATTCTTGTCCTATTTCAAAGCCAACTATATAGAGCATTTTTGTTGCAAATTTCAAATTACTGACAAGTAAAGAGATACATGCATGCGTGCATGCATGTGCGACCAAATTAGTAGTCCTTCAACTCACCAAATTTTGTTTTGTAGAAAAGAATAAGTCAAATGTATTCACTCTCACACATATTGAAAAAGTCAAATGTATTCATTCTCACACATACTGAATAAGTCAAATGTATTCACTCTCACACATATTGAACAAGTCAAATGTATTCACTCTCACACATATTGAACAAGTCAAATGTATTCACTCTCACACATATTGAATAAGTCAAATCTACTCACTCTCACACATATTGAAAAAGTCAAATGTATTCACTCTCACACGTATATATTGAAAAAGTCAAATGTATTCATTCTCACACATACTGAATAAGTCAAATGCATTCACTCTCACACATATTGAATAAGTCAAATCTACTCACTCTCACACATATTGAACAAGTCAAATGCATTCACTCTGACACATTATATTCCCATTCAAACTGTAAATCCAAAAGTAAGTCTCCCTACATTGTATGAAACTTCTTCATTTCCGTGTAGGGGCCTACTTCTTCAGGCAGTTTCATTCATGCGTCAATTTTCTCTCCTATTTTCACTGGAATTGGAATACTTAACAAAGGAACATAGGGAAGTGTTTTCTGTACAGCGACAATACTACAAGTACACAGAAGTCGATACCGTGTCAAGCAGTACAATTTGCACATGATTTTGTTAAGCACAGAGCCCTCTCTTGACAAAAACATCCAAAACCCCGGCCGGGTTCTGCTTTCGCTTATTTTAAGGTGAGGAAGGACAGTCTCCAGTAACTCCAGAGAAAATCTTCAAATGTTGCTGATGCCAAGCTTGTCTGCTTGCTCTATCACTTGTTGGAGATTGGCATCGAATAACTCAGCTCTGGCAGAAGATAGATGGAAGACAAGTGAGACTTTCTATGTTTTATATGTCACAGATCAAGGATACCAGTGAAATTTTAGACATCACGACCCAAGTGGTCAAAAATAAAGTTCAGCCCAAAAAGCACTATATTAAATGTGTAGGCCTACATAAATAAAGCAACCACTCAGGGCATGATGTACAATGGACATGCATTTTAAAATTTAACTCAGCTAACTTCGGTTACGAAGGTCAAAGTAATCCAAATCCAAGACTGAACTCTCTAATTCTCAAGACCCTAGAAAGTCAATCTTGATGCAAGAACCACATTTTTTAACCCCTTTGTTATCTTACACAAAAATGCATAACTTTTACCTTTGTGCCAAACCATGGACGTCACGGAAGTTGGCAAAATTTGCAATTCCTTGTTGCCTGTAAGACATTACATGCACGTCACGCTAATCATCTGGCACTAATTCTCTTGTACAGAAATTGAGCCACAAGTACTGCATGGATCCATTCGGGAATAAAAAATGCTCTCATTGGTACCATTTTTTGCTTGTATTAGTGTTAGTTTACGGTAAAGCTCGCAAGCCATCACTAAACACATGTCTTGTATATTCTTTATAGTAAGAGTTTTATAGCACTTGCAATACAATAAGGTCGTATGCTGGAGATTAGAGGTGTTATAAGAGAGTATCATTCACTAAAAAGAAGGAAAGATAAGGATGATAGATGTTTGATAAGAAAGAAGGAGCAGACCACACCACAGCTCCCCCCCCCCCCCAAACCACCCATGAAAACACAGGTTAAGTCTTTCAGATGACTGCAAAACATAAACACTAAAATGACTTCAAAAAGGCAGAAAAGCTCATTTTTAAAATTTAGATTTGCAAGTTTTCCCATTATGAGAAAGATGGGCATATAAGGAATGAAGAAAGTGACATGATCGAAGCCCCCGGATCCGAAATAAGTCTTATATGGGCTAGATCAAGGCCATGAGTCGATTAAAACTAAAACATGGGACTGCTGATCTGGCTAATAAGCTTAGATGAAAACTTGTGATGACAGTAAGAACGCATACCCCCTGGCAACATAGAGGTCAACCATCATAACACTTAATTGAACATCAATCACAAGCCCTCTTACCCCAAATCATACGAATTCTACGCATATATGTAGGCCTACCAGTGAGTAAGAAACATTACTTTTTAAAAAATAATTAGTTGAGGGCATCAACCAAACAAAACCCATTCCCTGTATTGTACTAAAGTTTATGCTACTTATACTGTACACACATAATATGTTGTAATTTTTAGCTAAATGTAGTCCTGCCTCTTGTCAAAATGTGCAACCCCAACCCCCTACACTCCACACGTAGAGCCATGAGTGCTGATAACCCCTTGCCACGAAAAACTTTGACAAGTCACAGAGGAGACCAAGCAGAAATGGCATTGAGACCTAATTTCGAGAGACGGCACAGGAAACTAATCCAAGACCTAGGGCAAAAGGTTATATAGCAACTGCATACCTGACAGGCATATCCAGTGAGTAGAAAGGGTTCTTAAGAGCATAGTCAGAGTAGACTTCGTACAACTTTTTTAGAATGGCATCAACATGAGCCTGCTTTGGGTCTGTGAGCAGAACAAATTTCACTCCTGAGGAAGAAGAAAAAAAAAGCATTGAAGTTGAAGTGGGATTATAATAATAAAAACAAGCGTTCTTTTGAAAACCTGAAAAATACATGTTACTTCTGAAAGCTTTCATGAACTGGAGTAAGTAAAAAAGATCCTTCTTATATTCAGAAAAAAAATCATATACAACTAAAATTCAAAAAGTATCTTAGCAACATGTGTGGCTTATTAAATTTGTTGTTTTTTTCAATAAAAGACCATGCTTGAGTCCAGAGTGATTGGTACGACATATTTATTCAGCTGACAAGGTTCCTACTCCAATGAACTTGTCCTTTGTAAACTAAATTCATATTACAGTGGAATCCTGTTATAACGAGAGGGAGGGGACCGAAGCAAACTGTCCGTTATAGTAGGATTCTCGCTATACGGGATCCAGTAATTAGCCTAATCTATGAGTTTGGTGTTCTGTTTTTCCTTTTGCTATCTCCCCTGATGATGATTTTGTTTCAACATGACCTCTAGGTCTTACTTGAACAAAAATCAAATCAGGTTTGTTTCTCTAGCGCTAGATCTAGCGTTGTGGACTGACAGCTCGGCGTCGGCGATCAGAAAGAAAGGGCTCTGGGCTAACTCGCCCGCTGTGTTTTCCCCCCACCCCACCCCACCCTGTGGGCCATTCTGTCTGCTTGCGCACGTCAAACATTCGCTCCATCCATCACATTGCTGTGACCTCTCCATCCCTGCATCGGAGAAGTGAGAGGCATGGTAGGCCTTGATAATCTAAACTGGCCTATCACGCGATGCGTTCTGCTTGTCTGCGCATGCCACACCCTCCCTACTCAGTTGCTGCGGCCTTCATTGTTGACTCACATGGGCTCTCCTATTCTTTGTTTCGCAAGATCAGCAACAAGTTTCTCAACTGGCGAGTTCTTGCATCATGTATAATTGGCCTATGCCATGTGCACAGCAGCAGTAATAATCCGCTATAACCGACTCGCAAGTGTGTCTGACAGCGCTATAGCAGTATTTTGTTTACAAAGGTAAAGAGGAGAAAAAAAAAAGGGTTTAAGAATAGTGCCTTTATAACAGACTTCTCGTTTTTTCCGGACTCGTTATAAGTGGACTCCACTGTACAAGAATATCATCAGGTAGGCTACTATGAAAGTAAAAACCAGTTTTCACAACCTTTGCAGTCAATAATAATAGTTCATCCATCATGAATTGATGATGAACTTTGACATCCAAGGAAGAAGAAAAGTTAAAGACCTTGCAGGCAGTTAACATGGTAAAGACAGTAAAGTGAAGAAAATCTTTGCAGAAATGCATCTAAAACCCAAATCAGATCTTAAAGCGCCATGCTTCCCAAAGTTTAATAAAAATAGAGCAGTCGCAACAGCTCTTGAAATGACAAAAGAATAGAGGGTGAGCAAGAGGTAAGTAGAGGAAAGAGAAAAGAAGATCATCAAACACCTGACAAGTACCGGTAGCCTATAAATTAGACAAGGGACAGTGTGAATGTTCGTGAGAAAAACAAAGGGGACAGACACAGTCATCAGCAATGTCGAATAGACAGGGCTATAGAGACTGATCAGTGAAGCACAGTACTGAGCAAGCACCGAGTTTTATTTCTGCCAGTGAATTCAACCCGCCTCTAGAGAAGAAAATGTACAATAGTTCATCCATGAAAAATATCTTGTGGTTAGAGATTTCCCAGAATGGTTTAGCTAGAGGGCATGCATGGGACTGGCCCTAACATTTTTTACCATTTTGAGTTACCAAGACCACGAGGTCAGAAACCAAATGTAGAATCTGCTCTATCAAAATCGTAAGATTATTCGGAGTCGTTATCAAGATAATCAAAAAACTGCATTCTAAAAAACTTGACATGTTGTGAAGTTGCACTGTCAGGGTCTACCGCTCTGAAGCCACAGACAGTTTACGCGAGGGTAAGGATTTGTTCAACCTGTCAGGGCCTACTGCTGTAATGCCACAGACACTTGGCTACCTTAGAATTACAAAGTTCTATCTGACATTTTTGGCTGTTTTGAATTATTACGATCATGAGGGCAGAAACCAAATGTTCTATCTGCTTTATCAAAATCGTAAGACTATTCGGAGTCATTATCAAGATAATATTCAAAGAATTGCATTTGGAAAAACTAGACATTTTGTGAAACTTTAAAAATTTTAACGTCAAAACTTTCAAAACTAGGTACTATGTAATTCTAGTGTATCAACTTAACACAAGGGTAAATTGGTAAGGACTAGTTTTTACCTGTCATGGTCTGGTGGCAATGCAGCTTGAAAGTGTCTGTCTCCAGTGTATGAATGCCCGATGAGTTCGGCTCAGGGGACAGTTGAGACCCGAAGGCAAACAGGCTGTGGCAGATACAGAAATGATTGAATTACATGCCATGTAATATTATTACTGCTTATTAATTCATAACGCGTGAAGGACTGAGAGTTGTATGTGTGCGTGTGTGAGTGAGTGTGTGTGTGTGTGTGTGTGTGTATATGTGTGTCTGTGTGTGTGTGTGTGTGTGTGTGCTTGTGCATGTGTGTAGTGTGTGCATACATGTGGGCACACATGTGTGTTTGAGTTGGTGAGTGTGTGTGTGTGTGTGTGTGTGTGTGTGTGTGTGTGTGTGTGTGTGTGTGTGTATGTGAGTGGGTATGTGTTTGTCTGTGATGTTAAATCTGCCGTCGTAAGGGAAAACGACGAATGGTCAAAATTGTTCTATTTTTTAAATTTTTATATATTTCATAGAGTATTTAATTCTACATCTGATGGTGTAAAAATTGTTGTCATATCCTAATCCGTTGTTGCGTAATTGAGAGTTCGTTGCTTTCCCTTACACTGGCGAGCTCCAAGCCAGAGCTCAGTGTAAGGGAGAACGACGAATGGTCCATCGGTCAAGGATCACTGCTCGTTCGGCGTTGTCCCCTGGTCTCTGCCGTTGGGCAAATTCGGCATGGGCGACAAATGACAGTTTGTCACTGTTGTGTCAGTACAAACATACTAGGTTTTTTGCAAACAAACACACCACCACCCCCTCCCCCGGAGTACCGTCGACCAGGTCTATAAGAATGTATCACTTAGTGTGTTTTTCTGTCTGTCTTCACGTATTATTAGGCCTATGCTGATGTGTGAATTGACAAGAGCAGGCGGGAGAAAGGGGAAAAAGGATGGGAACAGGGGGAAAGGGGTGGGGATGGAAGGCTCAAAAAAGTATTTAGGGAGAAATTAGCACTGCATATTAGTGTCCGCCTGATGTTCACAGACTAACGTCATGTTAGTTTACTGTCCAGTCATTTGACATCCCAAATCCCAACGATGGTTATATAGTGCCGCAATTTGTCAGGCACGTGTCACTGGTCGACATCATTATTTATAGAATTACTAAGCAATTAATGACACTGCGTTATGAGAGTAAATTTCTTTGTCCAACTTAAAAAGTGGACGTATTGTGGTGACACTTAGTCTTGCTTTACGATTTTTTATGACTTGATGGATGTTACGATCGAGTATAATAATGTCTTGAGGATTCAAACTGTCCTTGTCGATCTCTATTTTGTGGTATGTTTACCGATCCGATCAACTGAATCCTTTATTAAATACAAAGAGTCGCATTACCTCTCCCGAAAGCGTTTGTGATGCAGTCTAGTCAGATTGTTACATTTCTTAGGTGAAAGTTTGACTTTGGAATAATCTGATCCTATTATTGACATTGTAACATTGTTTTATCCCTTTCGTCGTGCAGGGAAAATTTTGCAGTTAGCGAAAATAAAAGTTAAACTCGCTTCTAATTCTGAAGAGAATACAATAAAGAGATATCAAGGAGACCAAACTTTGGTTCCGAATAAGAGAGTTTCAAATCAAGCTGTTGAAAATGTGTGCACATCTGATTTGTACACTGACTGTGTAGTATTTAACTAAGCGAGGAAGGAAAACGAAGGACGTTTACCGAGTTACAGTTGGGATATAACAAACACCTAACTTTATACGTATAATAGCTAGTTCGTATACGTCTTATTTTTATTTGTAGTAACCAGTACACAGTCATTACTGCCAATAATGCGTCAGAACTGACCATCGCCTACGTCCATTAAAGTTCACACGTGTAAAGGAGAACGACGAACCGTACCATTCGTCGTTTTCGCTTACATCGCAAGGCTCACCTGCGGGTGCGCAGTGTAAGGGAGAACGACAAATGTCGAATAACTTTGCTACTTTTTTAACCTAACCCATTCAAACTTTAGAAACTGCTTTATAATGAACACCTCAATCAGATATCTGGTGAATTACAGCTTAAAAGAGTGAAAAATAGAAGAGTTATAAAGTGAAAATAGTTTTTGCCTCTCCTGAAAAATTTGTCTCGCTACCTGCGCAGGACCATTCGTCGTTTTCCCTTACGACGGCAGAAATGGTCTCACATGCACAATACATTTTCTGTCTTTTGTTGCTATTTTTGTACTGAATGATAATTTAGCACTGTACAGCTTTTGGGGCTTTCAAGACCAGAGATTAGGTGCTATATAAAAAACCACATTAACACCATAATAAGTATTCTTTACTATAATTTAAGCTAATGAACACAGAGGTTACAAAATCTAGCAAAAGTATGTGAGACATATATATATGATAACGTACATTATTGGTTAAAAAAAAAAAGAGAAGCACACCAGCTAATAATAGCCACTTAGTGCTGGGTAAAAGGAGGACAGACAGACAGAAATGACAGAGGGAAAGTAAAGAAGTAGGACGGACCTACCAGTAGAACCCTCCTACCACCTACTAACAAAGTGTAAAAATACTGGGAAAATCAGTGTTGTTAACTGAATACACATTTACATAATATTGTTTCATGATTCAATGAAAAAGACACCAGTGCCAATGCTGAGGCAGAAGTGATTGGAAGACAGACACTTGATGCCTTCTGTGAGCTTGCAAAACATACCAACTAGTAATACTTAATGTACTAAAACAAACCAAAATCAAAACATAGTAAGTATTTTATAATGCATCTATACAGGCAAAATAAATTTTTTTAAAGGGTATAAACTTACGAATGGAGCATACTGGCTAACATAATCTTTTCATTTGTAGTTAGGTGAGGTTTTCCAAATTTGATGTTGATGGGATAATTCGCCTCTGTGGCCAAAGTTTCCATGATGTCCCTGCCATCCTCAAGGATTCTTCCTTTGGCTGCAACGCCATTGATACCAAGAATAGCATGGCCAACTGAAAAAAAAGTACAATTTTACATTTAAATTTAAGCTTTAATCAGCATTTCTTGATGATTTGACCCTTTAATTAACCCCTTGACTGCTAACCATAAGCCCACCAGGTGTGCTAAGGAAATTTCCACAGTGACTGTGTATGAATGACATGGTCTGATTTTTTAATGGCTATAGTTCGCTTACTATTTATAAGTATAAGTACTAGATATAGCAGAGCATATGATCAAATAAAAGAGAAATGAACATACAATCCATTGGTGCTAATCATTTTTAGGTATAAGAATTCTGTTAAAGAATTTGGTAAGTGAAAGTTAGATTTGTTAAAATTCCATCTCCGTAATCAAGATTCGTGTCCTCTTGGAGATTAAATCTATGACAATTTAAACTTTCTTTGGACGAATTGAAATCTGTGTCATCACTGTCTGCATCTCGATAAATTTCTTCAATAACCTGATCCGTAGACCTAGTCAACCTTTGCTAAGCTATCGTGGCGAGTGTAGACTGCATATAAAAACCTCAGAGAAGCAGACTAACTTCCCTATTTGCACACAATCCACTATACACCATCATGTCTTTTTGATTAAAGCTACCACATGCGAATCCCGGGACTTATAGCCTAAAAATAGACATAAATGCATCCGAAAGTGGACGGAGAAAACAGGGATATAACTTTTGTTATTCAAAACTGTGAGGAAGTGAAGATATATAATATGCACAAAACAAAACAAGGGTTTTTTTTTTTTCAGGCGTACCAGGTACACCCACAGCGCACACCAGAGTGAATTGTTAGGGCGTACCAGCTGGTACGCGCACAGGGCTGGCAAGGGGTTAACAGAATCGAGCTCACATAAAAGCACAAACAAAAATATATGAAAAAATGGCTCCATTTTGTGAACAAAGCCCCCTTAAACCCCCCCCAAAAAAACAACCCGATTTCCTTTAAAGTCAAAGTCACTCTAGAGAGGGAAAATACTAAAATAGTAGAGATCCTAGAAAATTTCTTCAACAGTTAATCATTTGAAAATGTTTGTCCAGTACATTTTGTAGTTCCTGCAAAGGAAACAAATATTTAAGCCATCATTCTCATTGACATTCCCACTCAACAGAAAGCTCTCTGCACTTTACACTAGAACTATTACCCCCAGCAGTGTTGCAATCACTTCTTCTACTCCACAGTGAGTGACTCCACAGCAGCAAGAACATTCTAATATGGAAGAGGCGAGCTCCGTATTTAAAAGATGACAGCTAGACTGCTAGGTTAGCCGCACATAATGACGGCAAGAAGGCTAGGCTAGCCGTACATAATTTAATAATGATGGATAGACCGACAGACAGCAAAAAATAAGCCTACTGAATTGTTGTTGTTGTAGTTGTTGTTATCGATCCAGCAACATCTGGGCTCTCACCCTTCTGTCCAATGCCATGTAGTGATAAGTGCAGGTTTGCTGCAGTTGCTATGATGTTCTGTAGAATGTGTTGTCAAAGTTAGGTCTCGGAGGGAGAAGTGTAGCTCTGATGTCATTTAGGGCTGTACAGTGGAAAAGGTGATGTTCCACTGTCTCATATATGCATAGTCACACAAAGGACACATTGGGGGAAGTTCTGGTTTTATTCTGTTCAAGTGAAAGTTGAGCTGTACATGTTATGTTCGTAGGCAGAAGATCGTGGTCTGTTTCCTTCTCTGTAGGTGGTTGATATTGTCATTTCCTTTCGTCGTAGTCATATGTTTGAAAACTGCTCTGCCTGTCTTTCCCAAGGCCCATCTGTTCATCCAATCTTGTTTGCTGTTGCTTTTAATTATTTATTTTGCAGTGTTGTATGAAGTTGGAATGTTGGGTTGTTCCTGTCTAGATCCCCTTTTGGTGAGTGTGTCTGCTCTGTCATTTCCAGGCAACTGAATGTTAAATATTCATAGTTTGCAATACTTCTTAAGTATGTATTTGAGACAAAACTAAAAGGTACCTTACTGACAGTGCATTATTTTAAACCAGAATTATTACTAATGAGACCTGTGTACTCAACAGGTTTCTGTCAATAGGGCTTTTTAACCTAAGTACGGCTAGACTGCTAGGCTAGCCGTACTGTACTTAAGTATGGCTAGGCTAGCCGTACTTAAAGGACGGCTAGACTGGCATGCTAGCCGTACTTAATAACGATGGCTGAATTGTAAATAGAATTTTAGTTTGCAATACCTAAAGTATTTGTTACGTATTTCAGACGAAACCAAAAGGTGACTTACTGAACATGCATGTATTTTAAGCCTGAATAATTACTAGATTAGATTAGATCTAGATCTACTAGGCTAAAATAAATTTTTAATGAGACCTATGTACTCAACAGGTTTCCGTCAATAGAGTCAGCTCTATTTGGACTCGAGTCTGATTAGATTTTTTATCTATTCGGAGTCCAAATATGGGTACTTAAGGACAGCTAGACTATCAGGCTAGCCGTATTTAATAATGATGGCAGAATTGGAAATGAAATTTTTAGTTTGCAATGTCTAAAGTATTTGTATTTCAGACCAAACCAAAAGGTGACTTACTGACTTGCATGTATTTTAAACCTGAATAATTACTAGATTTTCTAGATCTAGATCTAGATAGATCTAGGCAGATCTAGATATAATCTAGATCTAATGAGACCTGTGTACTCAACAGGTTTGAGTCAATAGGGCCAAACCTAGACCTCAGTATGGAGGAGAACTTTGCACGCACTTCCATCTGCATCGCAGATTTTGTTCTGTAGTTTGAAGGGAAAATTCATGCAATAAATTCCCTGAGTAGAAGAGAACAAGTCACAATATTTCGCCTGCGAACACAACACATACCACTAAACTCCTACCTTAATAGGATCCGCAAGGATACCCCACCCGACTGCCCGTTGTGCGACTGCCAGGATGAAACAGTACCCCACCACCTCTTTAACTGCCCTGCACTTTGTGACCTGCGTAGCACCTACCTACCTGCCTCCCCAGACATCGGAAACACTCTATACAGCGACAAAGCACAGCTGATTAAAACCTGTCAATTCTTTGCCATATCGACAGACCGAAGGGCTAGAACCCAAATGGCCGCTGGATCGGAAAAGTAAAGTAAAGTAAGGGAAAATTCAAAGGCTATTTTTTTAACGCAAAAGAGTTCCGTTGTCACTGGGAATAGTTTCTCTATAAATCCCCAGTGTCACTGGGAATAGTCACTTCGTTAAATAAAATAAAATACGGTTTTAGCTGTTGAGGGGTAGGGGGTAAGACACATGCGATTAAACGTAGAAGGACGCAAACTATTTTTAGGGAAGGCGCCCATCTCGTTTGACATCAGACCAGGATATCCCTCCCATCACGTGACTACATCTAAGTATAGCCAACCGTATGGCACCAAGAATGGAAGTGTCTGTGTATATTTAAGCTTAATCTATCTCTCGCTGTCGGAAGTTCTGACGGCCGAATAGACAGTGCGTCTGTGTTTGAAGTCATGCAATGATTTTATGAGAGGTTCGATCCCGGTCAGTTTTTTTTTGGCCTTCGCTTTTTTTATTTCTCTTCTCCTCCTCCCGACTGACCATGACAGTTTGTCCCATAAATTCTAATTTGTTGCTTTGTAGTGTTTATTTTTAAAATGTATATTAGATCCAGGGTCCCCACCAAATCCTGGAAATATTTTTCAAGACCCCCAAATCTTTTTCAAGACCCCATTTCGAGGGGAAAATCAGGCCGCTGAGCGTCAAGAATGATCCCCAAAAAAGCCCATCTATCAATGATAAAAAGTCAAAATGTCTATAAATGAATGCAAATGTACATTTTGTAGTATAGTCTTCAAACAATAGATGACTATAATACTGGGAGAACCCAGCTTCTCAATTTTAGAAGGGAGGGGCCTCATCCATTCTACAGGAACACGTACAGTTACATAACAATGAAAGCATGTGCTCCATTTATATCTAATATAATACATGTACAATGTATATATGTTTGTGAATACACATACACACACATGTAGGTACATTATATCCAGTCAACAACATGTCAGTGTGGCACTGGGATCTTGAGAGACTTTGGTATTTCAGTCCGTTCTTATTTATATTTTCCCCTCATCATATTACCCAACATAAACTATAGACCCTATATAAAAAAATGAATCCTGTGTTAAGCCCGAGAAAAGACCTAGAACTAGAATATCGACTGTCAATAACCAGTCAGGGTGTCATGATTCATATATAATAAACGTGAAGACGAAAACCATTGCTGCAACTCAAAGAAGAGTAATATATTAGTAATAACTAGAATGGCTCAAGTACACCTATTCAGTGTGAGAGGTGCAAGAACTGGGGGAGGGGGGGGGGCAAGAGGCAGTGACACTGAAAATCTGCCAATCATGAACAGAAAGCTAAAATATAGATCATATCAATTACAATCCCCCCATCCAATGATATGAAACGCGAACACTTTAGTTCAATAACAAGGCATGACGGATCCCGATTCCACACAAGGCCTGCACCAACGCGCGCTTTGCAGAGAGCTCTAAAGTAGTTATCAAAATGCTAAAAAATTGCTTCCAAGTTCAGTTTTTGTCCTCTAGCGTTACCTTTAGCCCCCCCCCCCCCCCCCCCAATCCCCTTCCACGAGTGTATCTTATAAAGGAGTCCTATACTTCACAGCGCTCAGACCGTCGGTACTCACAGGTTCATTGACCGGTCACGAGGGCGAACCTGTCAAGACGCTTGTACAAGTTTTTTTTCGTTTTTTTTTCAACAAGCGACAGCAGAGGGCAGATTTCTAATATTGATTTATTTTCAAGGCGACATAGCGTTCATAATTCATAACCTGCATGTTACAAATGTTGCGTTATCTATCAGACTATTACCTGAAAATTTCTGGGCGGTAACGAAAGCGAAAGTAAATCTTGATTCTTCCCGATCGAGCCTCAGTGTATATATACACTTCCGCCACAGCGGTTCAATTACGTTTCCTCTTCAGGATTCATCAACCATACAGTCTAGATATTATATTACACATTACACAGGCCCTATCCTTTCCCGACTTACCGACCCATCACAAAATTCCCGATCTTTTCCGACTTCCCGACCCATCTCAAAATTCCCGACTTTTTCCCGATTTCCCGACTTGGTGGGGACCCTGTAGATCTAGTGATGAAGAATGCAGATGGGGGGGGGGGGGGGGGGGGTTTAGATCTAGATATCTAGATCTAGATATTTAGATTTTATGATCTAGATCTAGATCTAGATTTCAGATCTAATCCTAACAGCGTCTTTACGGCACTTTTCGTGCGGTTTTTGCGTTTATCAAAGTGATCTTCCATCATGTCCAAGTACCAGATCTAGGAAAATCCGAAATGTTACAGAGAAAACAAGTCATTCCATGCAGTACCTCCACGGAGTCTGTGGGTGTCCCAGGAAGTGATGACATCACATTACTAAAATTAGCAGCTAATCAGAAAGATGCGTCTTCTACATTTAACAGCATGTGGGTAAGACTGTTCGACGCTTTTTCGGTAGATCCCACCCGGCATTGTTATTCGCGGGTTTTGGCCCCAAGAGTAGGGGGGTTTCAGGGGGGCTTTTGCCCCCCGACCTAATAAAAATAAGGTGGGGGGTTTCAGGTGGGCATGCATTTTCTTCATCATGATCAGTCCTGCCAAAGACGGCCACCTGTCTTCTTTAGTATACCGTATACTAACGGCAGTACATTATAGTATTTATACTTACTTATACGGCCACTTTTTCTCCTTGACAATGGGTGGCCGTCTTACACAGGTTTGACTGTATATATATATATATATATGATCTAGATTCTAGATCTAGATTTTGAATCTAGATCAAGATCTAGATTTCTAGATCTAGATCTAGTCTAGGATCTCAAAATTACGAACAACTTTACCTTTTATTCCATCTCGTTCACCGAATGAAACTACGACTTTCTCGTCAAACACTTTCAGTACCAATTCAAGAGGATAACTAAAAGTTTTCTCTACAGCCGGGCGATTGACACTTGGTGAGTCATAGTCATAAATCAAGCTCCCGGCTTTGTTAATAATATAAACACTGAAAATTGTCATTTTATGATCAAGGGGTACCGAATCTATGAGTATGAGGTGGGACAGAGGAAAAAGCAGCAGATAGTTCGTTTGTTGTGGCCCTGTGACTGTGTTACGAGTTACGCCCCTTGCTAACATTATAGTTTTTTAACTTCTTTGTTCGAGAGCTTCTTGATCGTCGTATTCACAATCACTCTAGATTTTCGACTAATTGTAAATTTAATACAATGTAGCCTTTCTATCACCAATTAGATGCCTTTGAAAGATTCTAGGCGAGTGGTGGGAGGGTGACCCTGGCAGGTACTGGTCTTTATTTCTGTTCTTTCTGTCTGCCTGTCAGTCTTATTTTACTCCTGAAATAAAATTTGAATGTTTTGCCGATGTAGGCCCCTATCAAACAAAACTTTTGGCTATGATTCTTGGAACAATATGGAAAGACAGCGTTATGATTCAGAGGTAATCGTAGCCTATAAAAATTACCAAGGATTCCCACGGCATTTGTAAAGCGTATGAATCTAAATCAAATGTCGAGGAGACTGTCTGTTAAGGAAGGAAGATGGGGGAGCGCTAAAAGCACTTAACTTATGGAGGGAAAAGTGGATAACAAAAAGGGAAAGAAAAGCACCGCCGACCTCTTATTAGATAATATTATAATGCCTGTATAGGCCTACATGGGATCGTAAGATAACTTTCATCATCATCCGGTGCCTGTGCCTTGCTGACTGGCATGGGCGATCATGGACTTCCACGTCACTCTGTCTTGCGTTGCAGCAATTGTGTCTGTTGTTTTTGCTGCTCCTCGTTGTCATCTTGTCCAGTATCTTTTCCCTCAGTCTGCCTCTACCTCTTTTTCCATCAAACTTGCCTGTTGTAACAATATTTTTTAATGCTTCTTTCCGCATTGTGTGTCCGAAGAAGGTTGCCTGTCGTGTTCTTATATTCGTCATAAGCTGTCTTCTGCAATTTGCTTCAACCAAGACTTCTTCGTTTGTTTTTCTAGCTGTCCATGGGATACGCAGCATGTGTCTAATGAACCACAGCTCTGTCGCCACAATTGTTCTTTCCAGCTGTTTAATGATTGTCCATGCTTCGAACCCGTATAAAAGCATTGGCTCGATGTAACTTTTCAGTACTCCTTTTCTCGTTTCCAGTGACAGATTGATGTTTGTGATCGTGAGTATCTGTTTCATTTTGTGGAAGGTTGCTTTTACTTGGCAAATGCGGCTTTTAATTTCGGTGTGACATCTCCCATCTGATGATATAATGACATCATTACTTTAAAAAAATGTTCAGATGCATATAATCTTGAATAGATTTTAATACTAATTCACTTTGGAGTTTAAGACTCTTTGGCTTGCTTTCTTTTTCCTCCCTTACCAAACTTCTCTTCCCCCGCTGAACTAGAGCTGTCAATTGCTCTGTCTACTCTCTATAGATAGAACATAACCTATGTGTGATGTCAAGGGACATGACTCTTATATTTACTGTGGGGACAAGATAATTAGGGGAGTGGCACGCCCTTGGATGACGTCAAGAGTCCGGCGCGAAATAGGCAGACATCGTCTGAAAGACTCACTGAGGTATTCAGTCGAACTCAGGACCACGACGAGGCAACACTTATCTTGGACGGGGGCCCCCTGGCAGACCCGACTCACCGGACCGCCAGGTAACTTTACATATTTTTCCTCCCTTACCAAACTTCTCTTCCCCCGCTGAACTAGAGCTGTCAATTGCTCTGTCTACTCTCTATAGATAGAACATAACCTATTTTGTTCAAAAAAGTTCAAAGTTTAGACCAATTTAACCTTTTCGAAAGATACATTTATTTAAATCCCATTATACCAACTATATCATAGTTTGAATATTTTCTCCCAATAGCAAGTGCGGTCAGTTATAGTCCCAGTTACTTTTTGGGAATAGTTGTTGTTGGTTGGTTTTTTTTGTTTGTTTTTTTATTTTGTGTTTTATTTGTTTTTTGTTGTATTTTTGGGGGGAGGGTTCTAGAAAGTAATATAAAAAAAGAAGTTGACGAGATAAAGACAATATGTTTGATAGGAAAGGGGGGGTAAAATATCAATAGATTATTATGTTCTTTGACTGGTACTGTCGCAAGTTCATGTTCTCGTCCATTGTTAAGGACAGTGACCGGTCACCCCACTTACGCTTTGTGTATGAGTTGTGGGAGGGGCGAATAATTGGTTATGACGGATCACATGCTTCCCTCACGAGTGGCTGAAAAATAAAATGTACTGTTCCCTGTTGGTCAACTTGGGAAGACAACAAACTGGGCGGGTAACTTGGGAAGACAACAGAATGGGCGGGACCCCCCCACCCCCACCCACCCCCCACCTACACATACAATACACAATACAAAATACACGTAGAACACCTGTTGGATATGGTCACCTTCCACTTCATGTATAGACATTAACATTTCCATGTGTGCATAACGTGAATTTCAGATTCATTTTTATAACTTTAATTAATATGCCTTGCCGACGAAAATGACAGGGTTTAGATTCATTGTTTTCACTTGTACAAAAATTCCGTCCTTCTGCTCTTTGGGACAAATGAGTCCACGAATCTGTCGATGAATGTTTCAGTTTGACAATCTTTATGAACAGACGGAATTGCCAACGCATTCAAACGATCTTGACCCATCGACGTGCGTGTAAAGAGAAACGCTCTGTCCAGGTAACGTCTGAGTTTCTAGACATTGACGGAAATCATTGTGATGGAATGATCTGCATGACAAAGAAAAAGAAGAAAGAAAAGAACGTAAACTAAAGGTGAGAAATAGCCAACTCTTAGTCCTGGTCCCTTGTACTTAACCCAAAGACTCTTTAACTTTCCACAGACCCACACAAAATCTAGACGTACACTCGCCCTGTAAATAAATAAGAAGAATTGTCCTACGGAGATCAAGCATAGAATCAGATATGAAACGGAGAATTTAACACACACGCACTGAACAAATCAGCATACAATAATGTCCCATCGTTTTAAAATCAAACGTCCTTCATCGCTCTTTTCAAAACCATGTTTTAAGTGTGGGACTGTATTAAATGGTGTTTAAAAAAAATAAATTATTTGTCACTTATTGCCCATTTCTATTATATTGACGCCATCTGATCAGTAGAAAATGTGCGTATGATAGTGCCAAATGATGTATTACTTACATAGTTGTTATAACAAGTTACTGTCACAACTGATGTTCAAGATAATTATAGATATAAAGGATCTGAGAGCAATGCTTTTAGAAATGACGGTAGTGGTGGTGATAAGTGATAATGTGTGATAGTGTTTCTGTAGGCCTTTATTAAAAAGACATGCTTCTGTCAGTTGTTTTGCTGTTGTTGTTGTTGTTGTTGTTTTTAAAATAATGTTCGCGTTAGTCCTATCTTCCTCTGCTCTGATGAGTCACGGGGGATGTGGGCACCCGCTATCCTGTTCCCTACTGGAACCATCTTTCTGTCACAGGGAAGTTCCGAAATGGTGGGCACAGTCTCTGCTAAGGTGACCTTGTTAGTATTAGCCTATTCTAGCGGACCAAGACAAGTGAAGAGAGGACCTTAGAAGGTAGACAGTACAGTGGCAGATATGTTGGGGATTTCGTAATGCGGTTGTAGGTAGCACGTTGACAACCAGGTAATAGACTTAATAATATACAGAAGACATATTCTACTCACTGACCACTTATCCTAGCCATTCCTTTTGAGTCTTATTTAAACATGACGTTGCAAGATTCTGACACAGGTTTACACTTTAAAATTAATGCTAATTAATGGGACTTACTGTCAGACTGTAGAGAGTGTTGAAAGGGGAGAAGGGGGGGGGGGGGTAGCTATTGTTTTCGACCCAGACTCTTGTTTTGGTATGTTTTGGTAAGTGTTTTGCGGCGCTCGCAACTGCATAAGGTCATATGAGCACGCGGAACACATTAAACATTATTAGTTTGGTAGGAACTGTTTTTAAAATTTTGCCCAAGTGGTGGCCGAAGCCTACTCTTATCAATTTTGGACCACCAAAGGTTCTTTAACGTGCGCAAAGTGCACACGGAACCGAATTTTTCGCCCTTATCCGAGAAGGCTAGGAATTAGATCTTACCTGTACCTACAAAAAACAACAACAGGGGTGTGGCTGAAAGACAGCAGAACGAAGGAACCAAGGAGCAGCAGTAGAAAGGCTGCAGAAAGAGCCAGGAGCCCAGAGAAGGGGGCAAAGGTGGTGAGAGGGCAGGGGTAGAAAGTGGAGACGAAAGCAGACGACAGAACATTGTTCGAGAGCAAGAAATGAGGTGAAAGGAGAAAATGTTAGAGAAGAAAATTTACCGTTGCTATCCAGATTTGAACCCGGGACCTATTGAATGAGAGGCGAACACCGTGACCTCTCGACCACGAAAGCCCCGCCCAGACTCTGACTGCCGAGTGCCTCTCTACTTTAAAAAAATCAATTTATAATAATTATGACTTGTCGATCCTTGTAATAGCAGTCTGACTATGGGCCAGCAGGTAAGGTTAACATTAAAGTGGGGAATAAGCAATGAATAGAATAACAAACGAGACTGTGCATGGCTCAACATTCAGTATGCAATAAATATTAGGGTCATGGTAACTCAAGACAGTCCTATTCTTCAGTTGCAAGCAACAGAGAAGCCCCTGTGGCAATTAAAAAGTTGGGTTGTTTTTTTCAAGAATCCGGCGTTGAATTCATCGGCGAGGCTGGCGTCACCGCTGAGCGCGTGGTGTTCGTTTTGAGCCTAGCCCTTGGCTGTTATCTTATTGAGTTGATCTAGATCTAAGCCTCAGCCTCGCCCAAATAAAAGTACGCATTGTGATAGGAAGCGGTTTCCATGGAAGCTGCAAAGCCAGCGTTGATAAATAAAGATTAAGAAAAGAATGTCTGAAGAGCGACAGTGCTGCACGGAGGCCCCTATGTCTCTTTGAGCTCCTTCCGATTGGATTTTTGAACATTGATAACTATTAGTTTGGATTTAGATCTACTTAAAATTGAAAGAAACTTATATCAGCAATAAATCTCTTGTCAATTGTCGGGCTGACACAAAGTGGCCATCGTCGCTTGTATTGTTCGATTAACGAACCGCCCCTGCTCAAATGACCAATCA